AGAATGATTTTTGATAGCTGTAGCCAGCGGAGTTATGTGACAGAAAGACTCCAGAAATCCCTAGGCCTCCCTTCGAGTGGTAGTGATACCTTGTTGATAAAAACCTTTGGCGAGTCGCATGCCCAACTGAGGAAGTGTGACATTGTCCAACTAGCAATCAAGACTCCAAGTAGGGAAAGAGTTTATGTTACTGCCTACGTTGTGCCCACCATCTGTTCACCCATTAGTAACCAATCCATTAATTTGCATCAACATCAGTACAGTCATTTACAATCGTTGAAGTTGGCAGATGACATAACCCACTCATCAGATCTGAATATCGATTTATTAATTGGTGCTGATTATTATTGGTCGTTAGTCTCTGGGGAAGTTGTTCGTAGTGATTCTGGTTCGGGTCCAGTTGCATTGAGTACCAAATTGGGTTATGTTCTATCAGGTCCTGTCCAAGGTGAAAGCTGTACAAATGAGTTGACTGTGAATCTTAGTGAGACCCATGTTCTAAGGGTAGTATCTGAAGTTGTTCAAGAGAACACACTTGAACAAGATATCAAAACATTCTGGGACTTAGAATCTCTTGGAATAAAGTCGAATGAGCCAGCTGTTTATGACAAATTCTTAAACGATATCACATTTGATGGTGAAAATATGAAGTCAGACTGCCCTTTAAGGAAACCCATCCACCACTGCCAGACAACTATCAGTTGAGTAAGACAAGATTGGAAAGACTTGTGCGACGTCTTAAGTCAAATCCAGAATTGTTAAGACAGTATGATCAAGTCATTCAGGAACAACTTCAAGTCAACATTATTGAACCAGTATCTAATGAAGAAAGATTCACTAAGAAAGATTCACCAAGAAGGATTCACTACCTGCCTCACCGAGCGGTTCTACGTGCGGATAAGAAGACAATTAAGCTTCGTGTCGTGTACGATGCGTCTGCAAAGAAGGACGGTCCAAGTTTAAATGACTGTTTGTATGCAGGGCCATCTCTCACTCCATTAATCTTTGATATTCTATTGAGATTTCGCCTGCAGACCATTGGCATCACAAGCGATATTGAAAAGGCATTCTTAAATGTCTCAATTGCACCAGATGATCGAGATTTTCTACGGTTTCTTTGGATAGACGACATAACAAAGGACAATCCAGAAATTGTTATCAGAAGATTCACAAGAGTTGTCTTTGGGGTTAACTCGAGCCCTTTTCTGTTAAACGGAACAATCAGTCACCACGTAAATTCCTACAAGGATATAGATCCTATTTCGTTGAAGAAGTGCTCAAATCGTTGTATGTCGATGATTTCGCATCATCAGCCTCAAGTGTATCCGAGGCTTATTCATTGTACGACAAGTTGAAGAAAAGATTTAAGGACGGAGGTTTTAATATGCGTAAATGGCAAACGAACAGCAACGTATTGGGGAAGAAGATTGCCAGCAGTGAAGGGTCTGATGCAACCAAGACATGCGAGGATTGGGAAGAAGATCAGAGCTACTCGAAGACAGGTTTACCACAAGCGAATCCTGAGGAAGAGTTCCCAAAGGTTCTCGGCATAACCTGGAATACAAAGAGCGACAAGTTGGTATTCAGTTTTGACGGACTGACTATGTATCTGGCAGAAGAATCAGTTACAAAACGAATCGTGTTAAGTTCAATCGCTAAGGTGTACGACCCTCTTGGACTTTTGTCCCCCATTACGACCGTACTTAAAATACTGTTTCAAGCCATTTGCAAGGACAAGAACATTACCTGGGATGATGTTCTCGAAGATGAGACAGCGAAATCGTGGAAATCCGCGTTGACTAATATGAAAGAAAACTCAACAGTCGATTTGAATCGATGCTATAGCCCTCAGATTGATCGAAAGGAAATCAGATCAGTAGAATTAAAATTCCGACAATGGGAAGACTTTCAAGAATTCTACTGTAAAGAAATTTGTACAGCAGTATGGTATCACCTGGAAATTTAATGTCGCTTGTGCCCCATGGTGGGGTGGATTTTTTGAACACTTGGTGCACTGTGTCAAACGATGTTTGAAAAAGACTCTCGGGAATGCTCGTGTTTCCTTTGAAGAATTTGAGACTGTTTTAATTCAAGTGGAAGGAATTCTGAATTCACGTCCACTCACGTATGTGCACGAAGAAATGAGCGAACCACTCACGCCTTCAACCATGTGTGTTGGTCGACGATTGTTAAGTAATCCAATAACGCAGGAGAAGAAAACCAACGACAACCTAGTTGATGATGCAAGAAGGAGAGAGAGGTTCCTGACTCGAGTATTAAATCATTTCTGGGAACGCTGGCGTAAGGAATATTTGACGGAACTACGAGAACAGCACAAAGTAAAGAATGGTTCAGCAGGTGATTCGATCAGCCAGGGAGACATTGTTGTGGTTCATGAAGACAAAATTCCTCGACAGCTATGGAATTAATGCGTGGTCGAGACGGGAATGTACGTGCAGCAACTATTAGAACATCGTCTGGAGGTCGAGTGCAGCAACTACAAAGACCGATTCAACGATTGTATCCAATAGAAATTCCTACGAAAAACCAAGAGACTGTTCCACAGATAAAGTTCGTTCGAGACAATGTGCCTAATGCAATACAAAACTTTAATACTTGATTGTAAACATTGATCTGTTAATTAAGCTACGAGACATTGTGTTGACATTTATTGATTAATGACAATGGACAGTTGATTGACCTTGGTCAATCAAGGGGGGAGTGTGTAGAAAATAATTGACATTATCGCAATAAATTATGCATGACGTAGAAATTATGCATGACGTAATGACGGCGCAATGTGCTGTTGTTGTAATCTGTATGTTTTGAAGTTCTGATCGAGGTTTATCAAGAAAATAATCAACATTTATCAAAGTTTATCAGAAGTAATCAACATTTTATTTCAGGGGGCATAATGATAATTTCACGAAACGTTTGTTCGCCACCACAGCAACCTAAGTAAATATATTGTATTTATTGTATTTTTATGATTGATGACAAAACTATGCAAATATTTATTTTTTATCATAAATGATAAAAATAACAATAATAAGGGTACTAATTCCCCCCGGCTATTTACACCCAGGGAAACGAAAGCATTAGCGAAGTCTAAAGTTCATCAAATATCACGGGCGTGGGTCACTGTGCGTGGGTGGTCATCCTCGCTGATCTCAAAAATATGGCGGACTGTCATGAATAGCGAACACTGTGATTGGTCCAAGTTAAAGTTTGCATTATAATGACTGCATGACGACAGCGAAATAGCAAACATTTCTTCATTTCTTGATTTGATGATTGATAAATTTCTTGCAAATATATTTCATTTTTGCTCGCATTTTTGCAAGATTTTGTAAATTTCAAGAAAGGGCGAAAGAATCGGCCAAAAGAAGGGAGCCTACGTCAACAAAAGGTAAGTTTGTTTTAAATATTGATTTTATAATTGCTTTAAAACCCGACGGCCTTTGCGTATATGAAACAACTAAACAAGACAGCATATAATTTCAATGTATCTTTAATATTGACTCCCTTTTTTATTATATTGAATTTTTTAAATAAAAAAGAAAGCAAAGTTATTTGCATGCCGCGAGAATTTGAAATCATTTTATTGCAAACTCAAAGTTTATCGATAAAGCCATTTAGGCAGTTTGGTTTTATAAAGAACACTTTAAAACGTTTTGCAAAGCATTTGTGGTTGAATTTTACCTTAAATTGAAGCCAATATTACGTATAATATCATACCTAACATATATATGTTGGGAAATTGATAATTTTGTAATTAAAAGTGATATTTTTAGGCGATTTTCATTTGTAAGAATATTCTTAAAAAATTATCGTGTTACCATGACAACTACTTTAGATACTTCATGTTCGGAAAATACAATGGTTTTTTCAGCAAGGCGAGGGGTTTCTGCATGCATGTATTTTCTAGTACAATGAAGTACTCTTGCATATTGTAATCTAAATGCATATGAAGAAGTGGCATTTATCGGGCAGAGAAGCGGGCGGCCATGAAAATGGCAGCAATTTGACAAAATATCGAAGGACACAAAATACACTGCATTGTTTCAAAATGAGATAAAACTTGGTTGAAATCTTCTTTAGCCATTTATCATTATGTAAAAGTACAACTGGATGATATTTGCAAAGCAAACAAAATGGCAAAATATGGCTGAAATTGTGTTTTTGTGGGGGTGAGTGAAATAAAATGTATTATATTTAAAGAAAACAATGACAATCCTTATGAAAACTACAATAATTATATTAAATTAAGCATAGTTTTTCATCCCATGATAGTTTTTTTAGGAAATAAGAAAATTTAATTTCTGCCAGGCATATTAGTGATTTTATGCATAATTAACAATTTTATACCTGGGGTGGTGCATGGTCATTTTCTTGTAAAATGTTATACATACACAAAATTTCCCTTCGATTAACCACCCCTAAAAGCAACCCCTCTAAACACTATAAGTAAGCACTTCAGAAAGGCTATTGCTTTTCATTTTCAGAAGTTAGAGCTATGTTGGCACTGCCATTTCAGGGTGGGGTCATTTTCATGACTTTCGCCCCGGATTGAGGTTTTGGCACATATGCCATGTTGACCGCCATGGTCATTTTCCGTTCCTTACTTATTGCTGCACTGTCATTCTGTTGTACATTAGGATTTTATCCACAGAATGTCTGATTTAAAAATAATAGAATCTGACAAATCTAACCCCAAGACCCCCCACAGGAAGAAAAAATAATGAAAAACTACACTAGAAAATAATTAACAGGCTATGTTATATGCATTTAACAAAAGATATGGAACATTGTAAATTTGTGTGGTATTCTGTGGTACATACACCTGCAGTTCATACATGAGGCAATTTTTCCTGCAACTTGCAATGCAAATATTTCGAATACAGAACCATGCTACAGATAAGTAGTCACATAGAGATTGTGAGCATGGCCCACTTTCTATTTCAGCCAATAATTTCTTGACATAACATACTTCCAGAGGATGAAAAATTAAAGAAATAGCATGAAGAATGTTGGCAGATCGAATGAACCACAGGGCACGCTCACAATTTCCCTGCCATTCTTTTTTAGAAACATGGCTCTATGTCAGAAATTGCATTGCAAATTGCAACAAAAATTACCTCATGTAACATGACTTTATTTCTTTTATTTTACAATCTTTGTCACATGACCGGTTTAATCCACAGAGCTAGTTGCTCCTTTATGGGTAACCTGGTAATGCAATACTGAAATATAGGTTAACACAGTGGATATATCGCTTCAAAATCTCTAATCACTGAGACGTTTGTTTTAATGTGGTCCTGAGCAATTCTAATCATGTGGATCAAAAAAAGGAATTTAATTTAAATTTCACATGCTCTCTAAGAAAGTGATTATATTTCAACTGGGTTAACAGCAACTAATGACAACACAGTTTGACAGAAAGACTGGACAAGGGATGACACAAATGACACTTTACACACACTGTTTTAAACGTTTGTGGAACATCAATGTCGTAGACCTCTTCAACAAGTTTTTGGTAATATTTAAATAGGCCGCATTTAAATTGACTGAATGAGAGATTTGACTGCTGTAAGTGTGATGGTAAACAGTTAAAAGTCCTGGGTGATCTACTTTTAGCCCCCCTGGGGGCTTAATAGAGGCTGGGGGGACTAACTTTTTTTTAATATTACTCATTTAAAAAAACATTTCAATACATTTTACAGGTAAACCACATGAACTGATGAAGTGTTCCTAACCCATTTGGAATTTTCGTAATTATATACCTGTAATTTTCCTAAAATGTTGTTGCAAATCCTTTGAGGTAATTTGCAATGTTCCTAAGCCAATTAAATGTCCCTCACTGCAGGTGCAGTTACACTATACCATAGTAAGCATATAGAAAAGGAATTATGCAAAAGTAAAGTTTCTAACATGCAAATAGGAATGTTCGGATTCAACTTTTGTCTAGAAACTTTAAACAGGAAGTAACGAAACATTATTTAGCTTAGGAATGTTGTAAATTTGCTCAAGGAATTTGCAAAGAAGTTTTTCAAATGTGCAATATGTACAGTAGGAAAAATCCAAATGGGTTAAGAATTCAAAAGATTGAGGAACGCTTCATGTCGTTTACCTGTAATACATCAGTGAACGTTATAGAATGTTTGTGTTCATATTTTGCTGTAAGTTTATATCGAGAATGATTTACAGTACTTCTGGAGTGGGGCTAAGTAGAGGGGGG